ACGTAAGTGATCCGGTCTTATTAGAAAAATCTCTTGATCATAGAATTTGCTCCTCAAACTACAACATTCGCGCTTTAAAATTTGGTGTTTCTAGAATATATGCAGCCAACTCTGACGCTTTTCGGGAAGCATCGCTTGCTTAACTGCCAATTTGACACCATCAGCTAAAGGAAGACATTCAAATGTACCGAAATCACAGATTAAACAGGGAATTACTGACAACGGTTTTGAGGTGCTGAACATATACAGCCCCAAAAAGACAGATTGGAAGAATAATCAGGTGAACAAAGATAACAAATTTTAAAACTAGGCAAAACTTGTTTTATGCCAACCTAAAGCAGGGTGCAAACGTAGCATATTCCCTAAAAATAAGAAAACGTGGGAGATACAGAGTCACTGAAGCTGCCCAGCCAGAATTGAAAAAAATAAAAAACAAAAGCCGAGGCCTAGACTCCCGACAACCAATGATCTACGACGTATGCTGATATAGCTCGACCCAAAGATATGCAAGCAAAGACTGTCTCAACCCTGCAGATTGACCCAAGCTCTTCTTCCGATCCTAGGCTCAGCCATAAGTTCACAACGATAGATATTGCCATCCGCGACATCAATACCAAACTGGACATTCTACTTAAGCTTATGCAGGAAAATGCAGGCCGGATTTGAAAGTAAGTTCATTGCTGGCGGTGATTATAACGCCAAACATGCATGGTGGGAAAACTTACGAGCCTGAAGAAGAAGTAGCTGTTGCAAGAAGTCATTGTAAATGGGCATTACCAAATACTTGCCACGGGTTAACCCACAGCGCTCCGTGGGTTAACTAACCCCACTCCGACAGAGCTTGATTACTTCATCAATGGATACGCTATAGACAGGCTACAAGTAAGAACACTTCATGAACTCTCCTCAGATCACACTTCTATCATAGCCATACTGCATACAAAACCTGAGAAAAAACCTCAGCGCTTACGACTCCTTGCCAGAGGAGTCCACGCTTTCCAAGTCCACCTGGAATAGCTGAGCGAGGTTAACATAAAAATCCAAGAACCTTCTGACATTGACAATTTCATCAGCCTTTTCATGCACATGATAAACCAGGCTGCTGAGATTGCTGCACCCAGCAATCACCAACGTAGAGACTTCTAGACATCCCCAGCCACCACCCAGAATTAGTGCGCTCCTCAATCTAAAGTAAAGAGTAAGAAGAAAATATTTAAGAATGGGAGACGCCCGAATCCATCAGATACATAATCGGATGGCCAACGGTCTAAGCAAGGCGCTCGCCCGAAGAAAACCAGAATCTATAGACAGATTTTTGGAAAATCTGAACACAGACGCTAGTCCTAACTACTCGCTGTGGCTTATCCCAAAACGGTATAAGGCTCAGCCTACCCCAAAATCAGCCATACGAAATCACTCAGGTGGCTGGTGCCGTACGAGCATAGAGAAAATTAGCATTCGCTACTAACCTTGAGCAACGCTTCAAGCCTTACGAATACTCGCCTGAAAGCATACGTCGACAAGTTAAAGAGTTCCTGTAATCTCAATTTCAAATGAGTATGCCTGCTAACTCTGTCTCAGTGCGATTCCGGAATTCCAGTTCGGCTTTCATCTTCGACATGGAACTACTGAGCAATTGCACAGAGTTGTCAAAAATTTTCTTTAGAAGCCTTTGAGAAGAAGAATTATGCAGTTGCTGCCTTCCTTGACTACAGCAGGATTTTGACAGATCGTGGCACCCTGGGTTCCTGTACAAAGCCAAATATATTCTTACGCCACAGTTGTTCCATCGCGTGAAAAGCTTCCTGAAAGAACGCATATTCCACGTATCTGCTGATGGATACAAGTCGTCCACCAAGCCGATCTCTTCTGGAGTTCCAAGGTAGCGTCCCCAAGGTAGTCCTCGGCCTAGAGTAGGGCGTAAGAATACCCCATAGTACTATAGTAGCATGATTTTGGGGAGTACCCCATCTATGCTTCAGATATGCCTACAAAAACTCCAATCACTGAAGTGAATGAGCAAGACGTGCTAATTGCGACCTAAGCTGATGACACTGCTGTCCTGACCAAAAGCAGTAGTATCTTGGCTGCTGCATTTGTATTACAGGAGTATATGGACGCATTTCACCAATAGGCCATAAACTGGAACATTTGCGTAAACGTAGAAAAATGTGCCAATGTAACGTTCACCAATTGCCGAAGTACCTGCCCAGGAGTCAACATTAACTTTAGTCCAATTAGAGGCCTTCCTGCATAGAAGTACCTCGGTGTCAATTTGGCAAAAAACTTACATTTGGCAGGCACATTACTTGTATCCAAAACTCGTACAGGAAAGTGGCTCGGATGTCCTGGCTCTTCATACCACGCAACAAGCTCGTACTTGGATGTAAGGTGCAAATATGCAAGTCCATAGTAGCAACAAGTTATTTCTAATGACTCCAGGTTCGTAGATTATGGTATCGCTGCAAAAACCAACCTGAACAAAATACGGGTTTTGCAAGCGAAAACTCTTCCATGGATCTTTGAAGCTCCGTGGTTTATACGAACCAGAGACATCGAACGAGATCTCAACGTGCCCAAGCTCGGACACGAGCTGCAGGAATTTGCTCAGAAATATATGGAACTCCAAAATGAGCACCGCAGCAGCCTAGCCAAATAGCTGCCATATAACTGATTGATCGGAAATGGTATTTGATAGAAATACCACCTTTGGTATTTTTGAAGATAGAATTTTGGGACTTTTTATAGATTTTGTATTATAACAAATTGGGTTATATTATGATATTCTTTAAAGGAGAGGCCACCTATACCCGGCGTTTGCGATATATTTCGGTTTTAACTGCAAGGGTATATCAACTTCGGCTCCGCCCGAAATTAGCTTTCCTTTCTTGTTTTTTTAGCTTAATGCATGGCGTTGCCACCTGATTTGCAAAGCGTTAAGTTGGTTGCGCATCACTAATTCATGCTTTGGGGCTGAAATCGTAGTCAATCGTTTGGGACTGAACCTTTCGTGTGTTGCCGAATTCATGAAATGACGTTTATGCACACACGAATTGGCTGAAACCGTTAAATTAAAGCGTGAATTCGGCATCGCATAAACACTCCTCTAAAAATTATTCGATTTGGCGGCTTATCGGATAGCTCTATCTCTTATAGTCTTCGGGATCCACGCGTTCAAAATGTTAGCCCGTTTGTATGGGAAATTGTATATATGAAAATATCTCTTCTAAAATGGGCCAATTTGGATAAAAATCATTTTTAATATACATATTTACATTAGGAATAGTTAAACATCAAAAGTTTTTAAAAAACCCTCCAGTACTGGCGCTATAGGATTTCGCGATTTGTGGGGCGGGAGTCAAAGTTTTGAAACAAACTTGAGTTCCGTGGGCATTTCTTTAGCTCCAATTCTTTAGCTCTATCTCTTATAGTCTCTGATATCCACGCGTTCATAAGGACAGACAGACGGACATGGCTATATAGACTCAGCTGTTTATGCTGTGTAAGAATATATGTACTTTATGGGGTCGGAGATGATTCCTTTTCTATTTTTCATACATTCACCCTCTACTCTACGAGTACCGGGTATAAAAATAATGTTGTACAAAATTATAGAGAGATGGAAAACTTATGGGACTAAATTGGTTGTTTAGTCAATTTTTCAAGAAAATTCTTAATAAAACCATAAACTATAAAAACCTTTTTCAAAATTTTAACCAATATTAATCTCAGACTCCTCTTTAAGTCAGTATAGTACTGCGTCAGTATAAGGTGGTTTAGCTAAAGTCAGCTCAAAAGCTTTAAACGGAACTCAAAATAAAAAATCATGGTTTAAAAAGTTGGCTAATATCCAAAGCAGGTTAATTTTAACGTCTTCATCCCAGGAAATGTCACACCTGTCACACCACATTACCCAGAGAATTGAAAAACTATTCCAAATAACCTCCGAATTGGACGACTGGAAATTGGGAAAAATGTTATGCACTCAGCATAAGTGAAGAATATCTTGCAGACATCTACGATACCTCTTGCAGAGTGTTAACTTCACTTATAGTTTCAGGAAACTCTATAAATGAGTTTGAGTCACTTGAGAAGTCGTTTAACTTTAATCCCATAGAAGTCAAGGAGGTTGCTTTTGAGTCTATTCTTACTACCATTGGAATCAATATGAGAACTTGAAAGTTTTCGATCAAAATAATCATATAACATTTCCAATACTTTGTTGCCTTGTAGCGTTGATGTTTTTGGCAATACAGGACGCAAGGCTAAAAATTAATGAATGCAGGTGGTCCTAGTTTTGGGTATTTATATTGTTGAACAATAACGGTTTTTCAAAATCGTTATTACTGTGGTTTAGAACCCATTTTGGAAAAGTGGAATGACCTCTTACCTTGTACCTCTTACAACAATTTTACATTTATAAATTGTTAACAAAAACATTTTAAGATAAAAAGATTTAATATTTTAATGAAAATAAAACAAGAGAGGAAATCTAACTTCAAGTGGAGCCAAAGTTTATATACCCTTGTATAGGAAATTTCTCTGCCTGAGCTCTGCTGCACACACAGTATAATTATATGAAACTCCATGCTTTTAGCTTACTATCTGCTAACCGTTACTTATACTAATGCTTTAAAATAATATCAATGAATTGTGTGCTATAGAAAGGATGGATGTATAGGATGTAGACGGCCTACCCTTATGAAATTTGGCGAGTCGGATCAGTTGGCAAAAAATATAATCTGTAGAAATTTCAAATCGTATTTTCAAAAACACGAATGCTGGGTCATTTCCGATTGATTGAATCCATAGGGAATCAATCTCTTGATGAAGCTAGAAAATTACTTAGAAAATGAAAATCCCAAAATAATAGGCTAATTATATCTAATATTATAATATAAATGGTTAATTAACAGTAAGGGTATATCAAAATCGGCTCCTCCCGAAGGTTGCGGATTTATTGTGTATTTGTTTGGAATAAAATGCAAGAATATACCCACCTCTAGTATCTCATCGTCATCTTCATCTTCACCTTCTGCTTCCAGTTTGTGTTTCCGACTTCGAACATCAAATATTCCAGAGTCGGGTACCACTCCATTGTCGATATATGGGCGTTTCAAGTACTCCTGACTGTGCTTAAGATCGACAGCTCCGCCCGCCGGCGGAGCTACTGTACCACTTATTACAGTATGGTGGTGACGTAGGTCCGGTGGGGGAGTTAACAGAGGAAAGGAGCCAAACGGCGTCAGGCCTGCCATGAGTCCATTAGGAGCTTGTAATAAAAGCGGATGGGGCTGCGCACTTCGCCCATCATGTGGCGAGATTTTGCGTCGTAAGTGGGGAGAGTGAAGCTTTGGATTTGGATTGGCGCTGTGTCGATTCCTTGAACGTCGGGAACTAAACATCATGCTGCAACCATCTACTGTGCATTTGTGCATTTCTCGCAAATGTACAGCTGAGAAGTGAATCTTCAGTGCACCCTTGTCGCAAAAGGTCTTTAGACACACGTTGCACTGAACCCTTTTTTTCCCCGTCACTGGGTTGATGAACTGAGTTCCTAAGTTGGACGGCATGGACCCCCACTGCCGTTTATTGCTTCCGCCGCCGGGAAACTGACTTTTTTTTGACGCCAGCACCAAGCGGGTAATTCGTTGCGGGCTAGTACCCGCAATTGAGCCAGAGCCTGACATAGATCCTGATCCCAAGGCAGAGGATCCGTCGTTTTTACCTCCACCACAAATCTGCATTCCGATGGCTTCTTTTTCTTCAGGAGTAGTAGACGCGCCAGTGTGTGGATGCAATTGGGATCCGGAAGTCTGTGATACCGAAGATGCCGGAGCCGGCAGAGGAAGTGGTGGCGGCGGTGGCGGTAAATGGTAAGCCATAGTCATGGCGCTGAAGAACTGGTTACTGTGACGTTGGTGATGGGGAAAAAATTCTGTTGGACTGGGTGGTAACGGACTTGAGAAGGCACTCAGTGAGCCCGACCTGAGCTTTCGAAAATCAAAAGGCTGCATGCTTTCCAGTTCGCTCAAAGAATTTATTTGTGTGGCACCTAAGTTTTGCTGAAGCGGTGGCGTGACTCCACGGGACCCACCACTAAACTGATTCCCACCATTTTCTATTCCAACAGCCCTGCCGCTGTCCGTAGGAGAGGCTGAATTACGAAAATAGCTAATTGAAAGCTTTTGGTGCAGATGGCTCTGTAGCTCTAGCTGTGCGTGGGCCAATTGAGATAAGTTTACACTCATGGATTGCTTCGGCGACGTTCGATGAGTCTGCGATTGAGCCGGTTTTTGGATGTAGTCCGATGATAACTGCTCTTGATCTTGGTGACGTATCGGTGTAGATGGAAGAGGAATCGTGAGCGGCAAAAACGGCGAGCTGCACCGACTGGGTGTCATCACCATTGAAAAAGAGCCGGACTTGGTGTCAGAACGAATACTCGAATCGGCAGTGGAATTTAAACACACTGCATGGTAAAAGTGAGGGTTAGACTGATGTAATTGGTAGGAAAAGTGGTTATGATTGATCAGTGGGTATGCATAGTCAATTTGATAGCATTGCTGTCTTGTCGATCCAAAAACAGAGTTTACTTTCGAATCTTTTTCGTGATTACCTGACAGTTGTTGAGGATATGGGCACTGTTGCGATTGCGGATGCAAGTGCGTATGCTTTTCCGGACCAATATTCATTAAGTTGCAGCACAAAATTAGGTTTCAACTTGCAGACTTTAATTTCTAATTGTTACGCCGTGTTAAGAAAGCGTTGTTACGAATTTGTGTACTGAAAATAAAAAAAACTTGAGAACATATTGAACAGAATGTTGAACAAAGAAAAAAACTAATAATATGTATTAATATTATTTATTTATTACATTATTTCATATATAACTATTTTGACTATTTTTATTTTTAGACCTCTGAAAAAGGTATTACATGAAAAGTCAATTTTATTTAAAAGTTTGCAACTCAGTGACCCGACTCTAAAAGGTCTACAAATTCTTGACCATGATCACCTACTGGGTCAATATAAGCATGTCCGTCTGGCTGTGTCTATTCGTTCTAGTCTACCACTTCCAAAGCTACGGGCTTCATACTTTGATGTTGTAATTTTATTATAGGAAATTGTTTCACGATGGTATTCTCAAAAGGTTTAGCCAACTGTGTCTGATATAAGCAATAATATCCCATCCTAACTTTCATCCCAAAAGATATCAAAGGATATATAAACTTCGGTTCTGCCCAAATTAAGATTTCGTTTCTCTTAATACCCTTGCAGAGGGTGTTATAATTTTGTCTTAGAGTGTGCAACGCAGTGAAGGAAACATCTCCGACCCTATAAAGTATATATATTTTATTAGGATCACCCCCTGAGTTGATATAAGCACGTCCGTCTGTCTGTTTCTACGCGAACTAGTCTCTCAGTTTTAAAGCTATCGAGTTAAGTTGTGATAGATGAAAAAATAGATTTTTTTTTATTGCATATTCTTTAAGTATATAATGTTGAGAATACTCTTACAAAAATTCATAACGATCGGATCCGTAGAACCGAAGTTGTAGCTATTTATAGCGCACTACCTGCACATAAAACTTGAACAAACGTGAAACTTTAAACGCGATTATCTCAGAATCTTTTTTTTGAGAAATTACCTTTGCGGTGGACACGATTACTAAAAAACTACTAATCTGATCAAAACCAAATTTTTACCACTTATTTATTATGATATTAGCTAGTCCGTGAACGAGGGATTTTCAATTTTTTATACCGAAAAATCTTATACCTTGAAAAAGTACATTTTTTGTTAAAACCGTCGGCATTTTTTTTTTAATCAAAATTTTTAAAAATCCCTCGTTCACGGACTAGACAATACAATATACTAACTACATTTTTTTGAATTTTGGATTTCACATTAACCGTTTTTGGGATATCATGTCCACCGCAAGACACCATCGAAAAAAGAGGATCCGGGAATTCAGCTATAACATTTTTATTATGTAATATTTTTTTATGAAAAAATTAAATTAAGTACCCAGAAATAAGTACTAAACAACGTCGGTAAAACATTTTTCATAAACATTTTCTATGGTGTTAAAACAAAAATCGATAAAGTTCCATTTTTTTGCGCGGTACAACTGTATATAACCCTTTAAATGGTGGGTGCAAGAGATTAGTTCCGGGTATAAAAGAATCGAAAAATTCGACTTTTGTTTGGGAATTGGTTTATATACACATGTTTATATCTTCTCTAAATGAATCAATAAATTCGACTTTTGTATGGGAATTGGTTTATATACGATTTGGTCGATTTGCATTTGCCGTGGTTAGCTCACAGAGTTTGTGGGTCTGTTCCATCGAATTGATAGTTCGACGTGATTGCCCGAGCCCAGAAATAATACAAATAGCATTACATTTTACGAACTCTTTATTCAGAGACTTTTCCCAAATACAATATTAACTACTCTTTGATCCCAACAATGGTCGGGTTCCGCTCCGTATGGTTGCTGCTTCTCCTGGTTCCGCCCGGCTCCGTCGTCAACGCTTCCTGTTGGCCGTTCCTGGTGTCACGGTCGTTGCCGCCGCTCCATCGCCGCTGCTATTCCTCTTGCCGTAAAGGAAACCTCAGTTGCCGTAGGTTTTCCCAACAGTCGCTCTTTCGCTGGCTTCCTACCTTTCAGAACACCCCCTTGGTTCGTCTGAGACCGATCAAAGACTGAGCAGCGATCCTCCGCTCTGCTACACCAGGCAAACACCGCGCATACGCGCTAGCGAATCTGGATCGGGAGTTATTTGCTGACTGCCGTCTCCGTTTCACCTGGAAACACCTGTGGTTGTCGCCCCCACTACAACTGGGATCACCGCGCATACATGTTAGAGAGCCAGGATCGGTAGTAAACATCAAAGACCGTGCGACGCGTTTCCGCTACACAGGGGAAACAACCGCGCTAGCGAGACCGGATTGGGAGTTGGTTGGCTGGTGACCGGGGTGTTTCTGATCGGTTTTTTAACTGGGCGTAAATTTACGAGTTGGCCTATCCTAACGAGTTGGCGCTTTCTAAACGCGGCTGCGCGGCCGCCCCGAGAACCATTACATTCCACGTCGTCTCTGCTTTCTCCCGACGCGCTGCCCCCATCACTGCTCCTTGCCTCCGCAGTGCATTTGAGAAATAGTACCAGCGCTTGACCGCTTTCGCACCCCCTCAACATTTTTTCCTTGACTTTGCCCCATGCCACCTGTCTTAGCGTGTGGGGAGACTAAATCTTCTTACACTTCCCCCCTTCTTCGGGAAACGACAGAAATGATTGTTGGGCATTGTTCCACAGGACTCACGGTAACCGTCTCCAAAAAATTTTGATGCTCACTGTTGTGACTCCTTTTCGATGCTCCCATGTTGTTCCTGCTTATTGTGGTGGGGATAACCCTATCATATCCACTTACCCCCTTTTTCGAAAAACGACTGAGCGTCCCTGAGCGGTCACTTTCGCAATTCTTCTCATACCTTATCCTAGTTTTTTTTTGCTCTTTCTATAATATTACTAATTATTATTACTAATTTTCTTTTTTTTCTAATTATCTACATTCTATTCTTTTTTTCCCACGTTTTTTTGTATACATTATTTCTTTACCGGTGACTCCATCTTACCACTTTAGCTCACTAACGTCTGCCCTCTTCTCTTTCTTTGTGCCGCCGCGCCGTAAAATGGCAATCACCGGCGACACGAAATCCACGACCGCGAATCCTTCGGCCACCTTGACAAATGATGCTCCTTTTCCCACACCGTCTCGCCGACCTTTGGGCTCCACTTCCACCTTTTTATGTTGTATTGGCGCGCTTGGTCCTGGTCCGCTCGCTTCATGTTCCTCCGCACTATCTCGCACACCTCCTTCAGCTTCGTTGTTCATTTCCAGTGCCTAAGGCGTTTTCGTCGAACAGGGCTCGCGGCATCTTTGGCTCCCGGCCCGGCCCGGCGAATATCCAGTGGACTCCGACACTGCCAGCATTAGCTCTGGCCAGTGCTCGTCCCACGTCCTTTGATCCTTCCCAGCACACTGGGCGATCATCGTCTTGACCGTCCTGTTCGTTTTTTTCGTGAGATTCTCCTGCGACGTCACCGGTGAACTGGTAATACACGCCGATCTCCCCGAGGAACTTCTTGAAGTTTCGGCTGGTAAACTGTACGCCGTTGTCAGTCACCATTATCTTTGGTACTCCATATCGAGTGACAATTCTTTCCCGAATCGCTCTCTGTAGAGCTTCGGTCGTTGCCTTTCGAAGTGGCACCATATCCATCCACTTCGAAAACCGATCAATCATGACCAACAACATTGTGTTTCCATGTTTCGATCTGGGCAATGGACCTACAAAGTCCGCGCATGCCGTTGCCCATGGCTCTTCCGGGACCTGTGACGGCATCTATCCTGCCATTTGCATCTGGCTCGGCTTGTACTTCAGGCACGTGTCGCACCTCCTGACATATTTTCGGATGACCCTCGGCATCCCTGGCCAGAAGTATCTGGCGGTCACTTTGGCGATTGTTTTCCTCACGTCTCATGCCGTCGTTGCACGCATAATTTCTAAGACAATTTCACTTCCTCGCTTCCGGCTCTATGCGGGACGTGGCGGTAGATCAAGCCTATTTCTTCTACGTAATCCGGATACTTCTGCGGGCTCGTCTTCATCTTGTTCTTCAGCGCGCTTATCCACACGCATTCTTTGATTTCTATTTCAGTGGCACTTCTTAGTTTTTCCAATACTGGCTGGTGGGAAAGCGCGTCGGCGACCACGTTGAGCTTACCACTGTGCCAACTCCTCAAACTCCTCTGCCAGGCCAATCACTTCTTCTGAGGATACGCATGCGTACGGCCTTATAAAAATTTTCATCCTTGGCATGCAGCTTTCGACGAGCCTATCGACTACCTCTTTCGTGGTTTTCCTAGTGGCTTCATTAGAGACTGAAGGTCCACCATGTGTTCTTTAAACGGTTCTCCCCGTTGCTGCTTCCGTTGACGAACCTGATCCGCCAACTTCTCAAAGTATCCTTTCAGCAGGATAAAGTTTTCAAAGCATGCCTTGAATTCTGCCCAATTTGGCCACTCCTCGTCGTTCATGATAAACCATCTTTGAGCCCTGTTACTCTGACATGGCCCTAGGGCTCGTGTTAACGTCCAGTCCATATGTTTTTGTGGACGACGTCACTCGGTCCAGGAACTCCAACGGGTCTCCTGTTCCGTCGAACCGAAACGACCAGTCCCGCACTTGCCTCGTCACTTTTGCGTAGTTCACCTGAACCAGGACATACTTCCTTGACTGTGGCTCCATGCTCCTTCCTGCGCTTGGCTCTGGTACTGCCAAGCTCTCTATGAGTCTCTCGGTCTCGCTGGTCGCTCTCTATCTGGGCGTGGACCTTTGCATGAATCTCTCCTCGAACCCTCGCGTCAATGCCAGCACGTCGTCGTCCTTGGACTCGTTCACCCACTTCGTCATCATGGATCTCATGGTTTGATCGGTTCTGTCTGCTGGTAGGCCGAGTCCCTGCACACTTCGCTCCTTGGGCTATTGGGCTCTGCAGAGCCGGTCCTTTAGCTCAAACTACCGGGTCCTTTTTAGAAACGCCCTAACACTTGAATGTCGGACTCTCCAAAGATGGTCCATTAACTCAACGCTCCAAGCTTCCTAAAAGACTCGTCTCGATTCACTCCAATATACTCCTAATATACTGCTTGAAGCGCCCGTTAACGCCACTTTCCTGTTGGCGGGTCGCCGTCCGGGAAAACTGCACCATAA